GGAAGATAGCTATTTCGATGCTATAAGATGTACACTTAGAGCAAACACTCATAATCCATCGTCTTGACTATTCAAATCACTTCCTGTCCCTTTGCGCATGACGTTCCCAAATTAAACCTGTGTGTTCATACTAAAATAGAAACAATTCATCAACTGTACTTATGGAGCTGCTGCGCACCCCATAACTCTACACACAAAATTATGTGGCAGTAACAATATTGCTACACAACAGAGGTTTGCTGTGTGTGTGTGTACGTGCGTTTGTGTGTGTGTGTGTGTGTGTGTGTGTGTGTGTGTGTGTGTGTGTGTGTGTGTGTGTGTGTGTAAGCGTGAGTGTTTTTTTGTTTATATATAAAAAATAAAAAAATGTGTGTGTGTGTGTGTGTGTGTGTGTGTGTGTGTGTGTGTGTGTGTGTGTGTGTGTGTGTGTGTGTGTGTGTGTGTGTGTGTGTAAACGTTAGGGTTTTCTTGTTTATTTATAAATAATACAAAACAACCCCATACAAATTCATCTTGAGTTTACTCCAATTAAAAAACGGCCGAGGGAATAATATTAAATTGTAAGCGTAATCTTTAAACTGCATCTATTTTATAGACTATACTTGACAGAGTTTAATCTATAGTTGTAAGAATGAGCAAATTGAAATAATAATTGAAATTATAGATGGTATAATTTTTCAAAGTGAATTAACATAATTATAGTAAAATTAATATAAGTCAAAAACCCTCTTTTTAGGCCTGTTAGTGGAGATTTAAAAAAAAAACAATAAATTAAAAAAAAACAAAAAAAAAACTTTGCACTATTTCAAAAATAAAGAGCAGGGCAAAACACACTTACTTGTCGCTGAGTTCGGATGAGACTGGCTTGTGATCGTAAATACGACAAGGAAGTATATTACATACAAAGACATTTTGTGATTCCAGAATGACGGGGAGGATTGGTTTCAAAGTTTGTCTAACAAGGTTATCTGCGCATGCGCACTTTAAGTTCTGTCATGCAAACATGGTTACGTAGATATATTATTGGAAATTTATTTCAGGAATGATGGGGGGGGGGAGAGGAGGCGGGTTCAGAACGCTGACGTCAACAGGCTTTCTTGGTAACAAATATAATAGAATTACGTTTCCTGTGTCATTATTTGACGAAAACTAGACCTGGGTAACGCAGAGGAATGCGAATGATGCAGTCATCTTAATCCCGCATTACGCACAGTGATCATGAATAGATGTTTGAATATATAAATAATAGTAATCATGTTACGTTGCCCCCATCATTTTTGCCCCACCTTTATTTACTAGGTATGTTGCCGCACTCTTCTACCAGCTGTGTTGCCCCGTTCTTCTACAGCTATGTTGCCCCGTTCTTCTATCAGCTATGTTGCCCTACTTTATTTACCAGTTATGTTTCCACACTCTCCTAACAGCTATGTTGCCCCGTTCTTCTTCCAGCTATGTTGCCCCGTTCTTCTGCCAGCTATGTTGCCCCGTTCTTCTGCCAGCTATGTTGCCCCGTTCTTTTGCCAGCTACGTTGCCCCGTTCTTCTATCAGCTATGTTGCCCTACTTTATTTACCAGTTATGTTGCCACACTCTTCTACAGCTACGTTGCATTTCGAATGCTTAGATAATAAGATGGGTAAGGGACAGTAAAGAAAAAAACGTAGACTTTCTACCGCCTTAACGGCTCCGTTACCTTCAAGCTGTAAGTAGAGCTGGAGGTAATCGAATTTTTTACGGGGCGAATCAGGAGCGGGGTTCTGCCAAACACAGTTTATTCTATTTTTGTCTTAACGGCCAATTTTATAAAATTAAAATCATAAATGACTAACAACGTACAGGTGATGAACAGTGAGCCAAAGAAGTATTGTGAAACAAAACAATGGTGTCAGATAAAGAGTTGATTGTATAGGTTTAAATAGTGTTTTAAAAAAATACAAGCCTTGACATTTTGAAACATGTTAAAACTATAGGTTTAAAAATTAAAAAAAAAATAAAAATGCATCTTTCTAATGCATTATATTTGCCACGATACTTAAAATTGAAGCGCTTTTAGCACAATCGAATGGAGCATTGCAAGTATAATTGAATATAGTCGTTCCAGAATATTTAAGTTATCCCCACCAATATAATTAAATAGGGGCCCTCAAAATATGCGTGAATGGAAACTTCCAAGTATCATTTACTGGGTACAGTATAGTACGATTTAATGTTGTCCTTATAGAAATGAAGAGTGTCTTCTTGCGGATTACACTCACTGGTTATATTTGGGAAAAGAGTGGGATGCTGGTAACGTAGATCATTTATTTCGGTTGGAGACCACTGAAAGAGACTATCCTATTCCGAAAGCCAAAGTAATCTCGAAAGACAACGTAAAATCAGGCTAAATTAAACATATGTAACAAAACCCTTTAAATAAATAAGCACCCCCGACTCTCTAATTGTACATAACTCAACCAGTCACAAAAGTAGACTTCTTAGAATTAGACTTAGACTTAGACTTAGACTTAGACTTAGACTTAGACTTAGAACTCAACCAGTCACAAAAGTTGTATTTGCGTTATATTATTCTTTTTTTTTTTTTTTTTTAAATAGTAGATCTGGGAAACGAAACTAAATTTTTGACATGGTCGGCAACCTAAACTTGCTAAAGCATATTTCAAATCTATACAATCCAGTAGCAATGCCTGGACTTATTTATTGGTTGGCTAGAATTTGTGACACTCGGACGGGATTCTCCCCTAGTTTGTCTTCCATTATGAAACTCCTACGCATAAAAGAATTCCCATGCAATATGAGATATATTATCTATAGGAAGTGGTCGAAAAAAAAATCTTACCTCATTGTAAATGTCCTCCCAGGAGGGTGGCCCATTCCGCCCACTATGCGTGGGCCCCAGACTTTAATATGCAGGAACCAGGTTATGTTTTGCATGATATCATTTAATTAATGTTTTGTTTTTTCCCCCATTTTAATTTTAAGATATGATAAACGGTTTTTAAAAATGCAACACCATTTTAAACCTGTCCAGGGTAAATATTCTATCAATCACAAACAAAACTTTTATTAACGCATCAAACTTAGTGAAAGCATATTTGAATGAAATCTGTGACGTGATTCTGGCTTTACAAAAAAAATGAAAGCACAAACAAAATTCAAAAGGGATAAAGTGCATTGTTATGTAATTTTAAATATTACAATTTTAATTAATCTTAAACATCTGCAGCTACCAAATGTTAGCGCCTATTATGCTATGCTGACTATTTATATCAAAATGGGTTACCAGAAATTTGATCGAAAGAAATTTCGTCGACGGTAAATTGATCGACGGTAATTTGATCGAACGGAAATTTGGTCGGATCTTTTTTTTTTCCGTTCGCAAGTTGAAATGTTCATCATATTTCCTTTTGAACGCACTATACTATTCAGTAAAACAAAATAATTCGTTCAAAAAGAAATTTGATGCACAATTGTTACGTAAAAAATGGAAAAGAAGATTCGACCAAATTTCCGTTCGATCATATTACCGTCGACCAATTTAGCGTCGACGAAATTTATTTCGATCAAATTTCCCGATACGATTTTTCCTATCATTGGGATCAGTAAGTAGCGTGCTAATTGTGAGCTTGCACGGTAATTTTAAGAGACAATAATGTAGACAGAGGTGTACAAATAAAAACGTTAAGCAACAAATTTCCCCAAGCTTATTCAACATGAGTAGCATGAACATTATTTAACGGCTTCAGCCAAAATCGCCAAACAAAAAGTGAAGAATTACAATAACCAACACTAAAATTCATTACACTGAAATGAGAAGTAACAAAAAGAACTAAAGCTATACAATAAAATATATTTTTTTAAAAAACATTTAAATTTAAAGAAAACCTTATTATTATTTAATTACAAGACGCAATAAACAAAATATGCATTTACTCAAATCATTTGAAAATGTAAATAAATTTCAACGAAAGGAAAAGCAAGTGATGTGAAGAAAAAAACAACAACAATTTTACACATTTTAGGTATAAAACTTATTTAGCAAACACGTTGCTGCAATGAAGTTATGTCCTGTTGAACAAGTGATCTCATTTCCTAAATTTCTATTGTTCGAAAACGCGAAAAATGGGTTTATAGAAAGCTTCTGGGGGGAAATCGTACCTCTTGTTACATTCTTTCAAAAATAGGTGTCTTTTTTAATGGATTTCTCCTCTCGAAATAATAAAACGATTTATCATGAAGAGAAATGCCAGAAAGACATTTTTTTTAAAATATAATTAATGCAGAATTATGAATGATAAAATATGCAGAACACGCATTAATTAATATGCGGCATCACATTTTTTACAAGAAAATAGAAACACTCAAAGTATGTATTGAGACATGTTGAAATATTGTGAATATTTAAGACAAAGGTGAAGCGTATTTGATAAATTCATAGCTTTTAAAGTTCTGCATTGGGTCAAAAACATTCACAGAGCTGTAAAAAAATTCAAACAATTCAGTAATCTACTATTTATAATGTTTTTATAATCTTGATTTTTTTTTTTTTTAAATTGTTAGTCAACAACGCAAAAGTTTGTATTTGTAACGTTGACACAAGACGACCTTTGAACTGTCAGTCTCTCCATTTTATGCACGTTTAAGGTCCTGCAAACAAACAAACAGTTATATTTAATAAAAACTTTATCTTTTATTCACGAAAGAAACAATTATATTTGGTTTGTGGTTAATTTATGTTTTTTTTTTTTTTTTGAACACATCTGCAGGAAGTGTTGTTTTTTTTTTTTTTAATATTATTTTTTTCTGACCAATTGTTAAACAAAACCTAGCCTACTGGATATTATTTTTGGTTTGTGGTTAATTTATTTTTTTTTTTTTTTTTGGAACACATCTGCAGGAAGTGTTGTTTTTTTTTTTTTAAATATTATTGTATTCTGACCAATGGGTAAACAAAACCTAGCCTACTGGATTTACAATCTTTAAAACTATTACGTTTTAATTCACTTACAAATAAACAGCTTTTTGTGTCAATAGAACATTGCTGGTTGGCTGCATGCCTCCTGTTTCTAAACTGTTCTGTGTTATTGCCCTAAAATAGAATAATCTATTTATTATTTGACTAAAAAATGTGTTTTAAGATTAGCCTTTTATTACTGTTCCTTATATAGTTTGCTTTCACATAAACAAACGCCGATTGTTTTATGACGATCTTAACTAAATCATATGACAAAGAAAATCTAATATCACAGAATGTATGCCGGATCTTTTTATTTAAAATGTATCACATCCTTATGTTGACCAAAGTTAACTTATTTGAATTTTGATTCAAAGCTACGATAGTCTGATAAAGAACAAGAATCCCAATTAAATAGTTGTAGACATTAACTTTTAGACTGTTCAGGACGAGAAAATTTCTAAGGAATAAATAGTTTAAATTTCCTCATAGTGTACAGGTTTGAATTATTATTGCTATTTATAAAGTAAACAGGACAGAATAGACCACAACAAAAAAAAAATCACTCGTTTATTTAAAGACATCAGCTCTAAATGACCAACCTGAAAAGATCATAAAGAGCCGGCAGTCGGTATCTGTGGGGCTGCACGTCGGCATCGTCATCATTAAAACTCTTATCATCGAGACTCCACTCAGACATCTTGTCTGCCTCTTTGCAGTAATGTGCTTGTTTACCCAACAATCCGATAGTGCGCCTGCAGTCCCATAACTTCACAGCCCTTTCCAAGACCAAGCACAATTTTGTACGCCCTCTATCGGGAGGTTTCCTTGATTTCTGCTGTCGTGTATCTGGAGGTTTCCTTGATTTCTGATGTCGTGTATCTGGAGGTTTCCTTGCTTTCCGGTGGCGTGTATCGGGAGGTTCCCTTGATGTCTGATTTCTTATATCTGGAGGTTTCCTTAATTTCTGATGTCGTATATCTGGAGGTTCCCTTGATTTCTGATTTCTTCTATCTGGAGGTTTCCTTAATTTCTGATTTCTTATATCTGGTGGTTTCCTTAATTTCTGAAGTCGTATATCTGGAGGTTTCCTTGACTTCTGATGTCGCATATCGGGCGGACTTCTCGTCTTCCTACCTCGTAGTCCATCCGGCGTGAGTGTTTCTGCATTTGTTGTCCAACATTTCCCTCTCGTCTCACCGTACACACCTTGTCTTGGATTGCATCTTTTTCGCCACGCTTGAACTATGTATTTGAAAAGATCAGTTTTTCAAAAGTATTGCGTCGGTGACATACTTGAATCGGATTCATCATGAAACGATTCATCCCCAGACTTGTGCCTGGTTCTTGTGCTTTTGATTTCCCTCTTCGGTAATTCAGCTTGTGTTTCTCCTTTGAGGGATTTCATTTTTCGAACTGGAGAATAGTTCCTTGTTTTTATGTGATCTCTAGCAAATCCGGGTTGTCCTGCCCTGTTCGTAGACATGTTAAAAGCGACATTCAACAACGAAATTGAAGTATATTTTAATTTTAAAGTTTATAGTGTTATTATGTTAATTTCACACCAAATACAATTTTTGATCATTTTATTGTATGGTTCTGTTTGTGTTCCATGTATTTTACAATGAAAAAGAAATCGACAATGTTAGAAAAACTAATATAATAATATTGAAAACATAATGTCATGTAGAAGAAAGAAGTAAATAATTGAGCCAATGCCATAAGTAACGTCGATTACAATAAATGCGCGTGAATAGAAATCAAATTTTTAAAAAAAAATTACTATTCCAAATACATGTATAAAAAAGTAACATGGTACTGGATTTATCATCAAACGTAAGAGATATTTCAATTTTTTTATCAATTTTTACGCCCAATGTAGATCTATATCTTATTTAAACTAGATGCCATATTTTTTATCTGGAACATTTTGGTCCTTTTATCGTTTTGAACATTTTGTCTTCGAAAAAGCATATGTGAATTTTTTTGAAAATTTTTAAAAGGTTTGGATTTTAATTATTATTTTTTAAAAATTAAGGCTGAGACAGTTAAATTTACAACATTTAAAATAAAAAATATATCAAATTCGTTATTTTTACTTACTTTGAACTGTCAGTGACTTCAAAAAAGTTGACTTTTCCTGGGTTTTGTTCTTCAAACCTCGAGTTCTTTTTACTTTTTTCTCGATTTTTAGCTCTGGTGTGGTGCCTTACTTTGGTCTGATTTCGTTCTTCTTTCGAAATGGAAACAATCAGCTGTTGACATTTTCTTTTGAGGGCGTACTTCTCATTCGTTCCTGCGTGCAATGATGTCTCGGCGTGGCGATTTGTGTCCCTGAAATTCACCCACTTTTTAGTACCTCTTGCAGTTTTACCATCGATATTTTGGGGAATTTTTCTTCCTAAAGTTTTGTTAAACTTTCCGCAGCTCTGCATTCCGTTATCTACATGTCCTGATGAGATCAGGTTCTCACTTAAATCAAAAACCTTTGACTCGCTTCGAGTTAGTGTTTCCTCTCCTTTCGCACTTTCAGACAGTGGTGCATCTTTGTTGGCGTCATCGACACTGTCGTCTGTCCCTGCTCTGATTGCCGACAGGCTAAGATAAATGTTTAGGGCTGACTCTGGTTTTGCGTCATCAACAATCAACGCGTCCTCATCCACATCATCCAGTGCTCCTTTTTCAATCAACAGTTTAACAATGCTGCTATTGTCTTGCAGTGTTGCAAACACCAAAGCATTCCAATGGCCATTCACTTTAGCATGTATGTCTGCTCCTCCTTCAATTACTGCTCTTATACTTTCATTAAACCCGGCACAAATGGCCAACACTAAAACAGTAAATCCCGTGTCGTCCCTTCCATTGATGTCACTTCCATGCTGTATCAGCATTTCGACTAGATACGGAACGCACCTGTTTTTATTGGACACCGCTTCCATCAAAGCCGTCCTGCCATCATTCTTCTTTTCATTGATGTTCGCGCCTTCTTTAAGCAGAAAGTCGACAGTTTTCACGTTCATTTCTTGCGATGCGAGGATAAGAGCAGTCGCGCCGTCATCGTTTTTCTCGTCTAATCCCACGCCTTTCTCTAACAGCATTTGAATAGCGCTTGTGTTTCCGGCCTTTGCGGCGTACATAAGGGTGGTGTTTTTGTGATTGTCCCTCTCAGTGACATCTGCTCCATTTTCAATAAGCAATATTATATTTTCTGTTATGTCTGCCCTCAACGCGTGCAAAAGTGGAGTGATGCCGTCGTTATCCTTGTCATTAACATTAGCTCCATATCCTATTAACATTGGACACAAATCTGTGTCGTGAAAAGCTACAGCCAACATTAGTGCAGTGCGTCCATCACTGTCTTTTTCATTGACATTTGCACCTCTGTTGATCAGCAAGTCGGCGACATCGGTGTTTCTCCGTTTTATAGCAGCCATCAAAGCTGTTAGACCGAAACTATTATGCTCGTTTACATCGGCCCCCACGTCTAAAAGCTTTTCAACGATGGCCATCTCTCCCCTAAGAACGGCTAAGATTAGCGCAGTGTCTTTACTTTCACTGTTTTGTTTCTCGTTGACATTGGCACCAAAGTTGAGCAACACATTAATTATGTCAATATCTCCTCTATCCACGGCTAACATGAGAGATGTCATACCCCGTTCATCTTTGGCGTTGACGTCGTGTCCCATTTCGATAAACTTTTCAACTGTCTGCGCGTGACCATTCAGTGCGGCTTTCATCAAAGCAGTTTTTCCATAGCAGTCTACCTCGTTTGAGTTTGCTCCGTTTTCAATAAGCAGAAGAGCAACATCCGTCTGCCCGTTTTCCGCCGCTGTCAGCAGAGCTGACTTTCCATACATCTTTTCATTAACATCCATTCCATTTTTAATTAACGCCTTCACTACCGTCTTCAGTCCATTAGAACATGCTGTAAAGAAGCCAGACAGTACTTCGTTATGTTTGAATCGGTTGATAACTAAAACTGTTTTCTCCAAAACTATGAAGGATTCGTCTTCATCCATTGTTTAAGTTTAATTGACAGATCTGTAAAACAATAGACGTGTATTCAAATGTAAAATTTAAAAAATGCACACTTTATGACAAAGAGATTCTCAAGCTGCTTCTCCGGTCTCAGATTCTCGCATAAACCTACGTCTACACGCATAAAGAAGAAAAGTCGATAAGATAAAAAAAAAAAATTATTTTATATTTTATTTTTAGTGTTTGATACAAAATTATCTGGTTTCAAAAGTGCTCTTTGGAAATTTAAGGGGTGTATATTTCGTAAAGAAACTTTTCTAAATATGTTTTGAAGCTTTGCCATTTGGAATTAGTTAGCTAATAATATGTGAAAAAATCATTAGGACGAGTAAGATGGAGCTGATTGGTCAATATGGGTGGATTATTACATTAGCAGATTTATATAATTTTACAGAAGGTGTATACTAACCTTTACTTAACGTGAAATCTATGCAGCTGTGTACATTCTACGTGTCCATTTTATTACACACTTATTCGGACATCTGCATCTTTTGGACTTAAACAGAACTCTGGAAATGTTAAAGACCACTAATTATCAATTTTAAAAAAAATATATATTTTCTTCGAAATATTTTCTTACCTGTACTTCTATCTGAAATGGACTCTGAATCAGATCTAGGGGCGAAGCATTGTGCATAAAGGTGCATCCAATAAAGGGGTTATTTTTTTTTTTTATGTTTACAAGTGAAACTGTCTATGTTATCTACATAGCTTTTCAGTTATATTTTACTGTATCAATTGTACTTGGTACTGACAAACTTTGGGCTTGACGTATTGAAAACTTTCCTCACATAACATTTGGAAGGATTTAGTTGTTTTTTCTTTGCCCAATAAATTCATGCTTCTATCGGCTAGATAATAACAGGGACCCGACCTGTCGTCATTGCAGGCTGGTCCCAGAAACTCTTGCACATCTGCTAACCGTCCCTAGACGTTTCAGGGTAGTCAAGGACGGCGGGAGAGTCCTACGTGACAACAATGTTATACGGCACATCTCAGCAGATCGCCATTGTACTAATAGCTGGCGTTTTAAGCTCAAACCTGCATCACACTTCGTGTGTAAGATAGTCTTAGCATTCCCCTGTGAGCACTTGTGGCATCGAAATTATTAGCGCTTATAATTAACTGGAGTAAAAATGTCCACGTGTTTCTTGAAGGTTTTTAAAAAAATCCAAATCCTGGTCCTATCACCGGCTAGCTTACATTCAATACCAACTAAAGCTGCGAGAAATAATGCTAATTCAAATATACATTATCAAATGACTGCTCACAAGCCTAGTAAAAGAAATAACAAAAAGAGGTGTGTCGTGGAAGTTTGAATTTGAGAACCTGACAAAAGGATATGGACATTACGACATAGAGCCTTCTTCAGCTCACATGACACATGAAAACAAGGTTTTGCAAAAAACCCTTATTGGAAACAGGAGGATATGCACCCATTTCCGACAAGATTGCAACGGCATTGATATTTCTAGATCCAAGGAATCTCGTCAATATATATTATATATAGGTCATGATAAGACAAATCTTACGTCGTATCAATTTAGAGTAGACAATATCTATCTCGTTAGTATTGGTGTTTGTAACTTTCTAGTGGGGGGGGGTGGAGGGATCGATTTAATCCTGAAAACAAACACAATTTAGAAAAAGCACGATAAGGAAGTGTAAGACATAATAATTTCTTGAGTAATTTCCGATTGACGAGTAGGACTCGGTTTCAGCCACCATTGGGTTTGTCATTTAACATCGGGGCATACATTTTGGCCTATCTCATTACCGTATTTTTCCAGCGTATAAGAGCATGGGCGCCCGCAGAAAACTTGCTAGGTGGGGGGCAAAAAAAATCGATTAACTTTCCAGGGGGGGGGGA